CTTGGAACTGGAGTCTAAAAACTCAGCTCTCTACTAGGACAGGCAGGCCCCTGGAGAGTGGGCTTATCACATGCCCTTGGATCTGGAAACCAACACCTCAGGTCTATCCTGGGCCTAGCAGGCACCTGAACAGCAGGCTCACCATGTGCCCTTGGACCTGGAGACCAAGAAAGGAGCCCTGGGCTAGGCCAAGCAGACAACTTGACAGTAGGATCACCATGTGCCCATGGACCAGAAGACCAACAACTCAGCACTTTACTAGGCCAAGCAGGCACCTGGACAGTAGGCTCACCATGTGCTCTTGGAGCTGGAGAACAACAATGCAGCTCTGCACTAGGCCAAGCAGGAACGTGGACAGCAGGGGCACCAGGTGCGTTTGGGCCCGGAGATCAACAACACAGCTCGCAATTAGGCCAAACAGGAACCTGGACAACAGGGTTAACACGTGCCCTTGGACCTGGCAACCAATAACAGAGCCCTGGGCTAGGCCAAGCAGATACCTTGACAGCGGGCACACCATGTGCCCTTGGACCTGGAGAGCAACTACCAAGCTATCTGATAGGCCAAGCTGGTGCCTGGTAAGCAGGCTCACCTTGTGCCCTTGGATATCAAGACCAACAACTCAGCTCTGGGCTAGGCCAAGCAGGCCCCTTGAGAGTGGGCTCACCATGTACCCTTGGACCTGGAGACCGATAATGCAGCTCTGTGCTAGGCCAAGCAAGCAAGGCCAAGCAAGCGTGCGACCTTGGATTTGGATTCTTCCTTTCCCCCAGAGCATAGAGCACACAAACAATGGGCTTGCCACTTGGTCTCTCATTATGAGACCTCCAAACCTGCTCAGCCTTGCACCGATGTGTCCACTGGATCCCTGGAAACCTGGGAGTCTTCAAACTGTGATTCCTCCATTCCAACCTATCACTGCGCTACAGAGACGCAGGGACACCAGCCTAACCCAAATTCCTCTGAATGGGTGCCTTTCAACTCTGCAGACAAGGGGACATTGGAGTCCCTTCTCACCTTGGATTTACTTCAGCTTGATGTCCATGTGGCCTGCTATCTGTGCATTATTCATTTTGGGGGCAGTACTCCTCCTCCTCAGAAGAAAATGGCACGATGCTGTGGGAGATGAAACAGTCCAGTGGTTTGAAGACTTTGTATTAAAACTCAGGGCAGGAAAGGAGAAGGGGGGATGGGAGGGCATTGGGGAGGCCCAGGCCTGGAGAACTATGGAGACATTGTCTGAGATCCTCCAGTTGAAGGAGAGGTGCTCCATCCTCAAGGGAGAGGTGGAGGTCTTAAAACAAGAGGCCAAGCAGTGCAGTGCGAGGCAGGCACAGCTCCATGAGGTGGAGAGGTTCTTCATCCAAATGAAAGTCTTCCTGGAAGTTTCTGCCTTACAAAGGGTGACGCCTGTGCACCCACCCAGGATAGCATAGAAGGGGAGTTGGGAAAAGTGTGGTCATCTCCAGGATTGGGGGTTGGTACAAATGTGAATATCAGTTTAATTAATAATAAAAATAGTTATTTTTAAAAAACAATTTAAAAAATGATCATTTCTGAATGAGTAATTTATGAGAACCATCCTTGGGGGATTGTAATGTGCAGCCTGGCTTGCAGTCACTCCTGTCCCTTATGAGTCATCACATTCTCCTGATGCTGGGCAGGGGTCTCCATGGCTCTGAGAAAGTGTTGGTGAATCATGCCCAGCTGACACAGTATAACCTGCCAGCCCCGTCAAAACATTCAGACATACTTATTTCTGGATCTCAAGCACAGCTGTTGAGGTCAGCACCGTTCTTATTGGAAGAAAAGGAGAAGCAGTATGTCTATATCCAGGTATTTCTGCATAAAACGTTTCTGGCTGAGACCTCCCAGCACATTGTTGCTAAACTTGAGGTTGGACACTGATGTTATGGCTTCAAACTGTGGCCATGACAGCAGGTGTTTCTCCGCAACAGGTTCCTGTGTGATAGAGGCCTTTGAAGAGCAAATGTTACAAGGCCAGGGAACCAGGGTGAGGGAGTCCAGAGGCATGGGACCATTCCCTGTCTCTCAGTGAGAAGGTGTGGGGTCTGGACGGTAGGCAGAGTGGTGTGAGGGGCCAGGATGGTGGGCTCTGTTCTGTCCAAAGAAAGACCGCAGGAACTGGGGGAGACATGCGGGATTCACATTGGGTGATTTAGGTGCCTGGCTGTTTGCACAGAGTAAGGCACAGTGCGAGAGAGGTGGGGATAGGTGCACCTTGCAGACTGTAGGATCTGCTTGGGTATGAAGGAAAGGGACCACTTCCAAGAGGCAGAGCCGAGATTCTATAATAAAGTGGACACTGGGGGTCAGAAGGGAGTAGGAAGGTGAGATTCTAGGATGGCCCATCCTGAGAAATGTTGTTCCTTCTTAGCTCCAAGGATGTGGGCTGGAAGCTCAGGTGAGTTGCAAATCCCTGTGAGCTGGGGCCCACCTGTGGCTCCTGCTGAAGTTGCATGGGAAGAGCCTAGAGCTGTGGCCCCTGGGCTGAGCTCAGTCAAGGCAGTGTGCTCATAGCAGCTGGGCATAAATGGATGGAGCCATGCAGAAGCTCCTTCTGGGGTTGGGAAGTGAACATCAGGGGGCCTTAGGAAGTGGGAGGCTTGACTTCTAAGATGGATGGTGTCTGAGCTAATTTGACAGCACTGCTTTCAAAGTATATAATGGGCCACTCCTCGTGACCCCAGTGCAGCTCTTCCTGAGCTTTCATAAAACCGCCTTTTTGCACCAAAGAGGTCTCAAGAATTCTTTCTTGGCCATTGGATTTGACCCCTAACATTCTTTCCTACATCAGTCCCACCTCCCAGAACTTCCCCATCCTCCCACCTTGAGAGTGGACTTCCACTTTAATTAGGTGTTTGGTGCTTGCTACATCCCTGCTGACTGCCTCGATTCAAGCACGGATCAGATCCCTGCATGAATCTTCTTCTGGAGGATCCAGGAACTGAGACCTCGCTTCACACAATGCAGACTCAGGGGTAACAGCTTCAGCTGATGCCTGAGGACCACCAATTGGCACCTGCTGCCTCAGAATGATTGGGAGTGGGGGGCTCTCCCATCCTCTACACTGTGCAAGCATCTGGGGACAAGCACTAACTCCCCAGGCCTGGAGGGCCCCAGTGCCCACGGTCTGCAGAAGGACTACATGCTGTGCATGTGCAGCTGGGCAGACCAGTATCGGGAGGGATCTGGAACTGGCAAGGGTCTGGGAGTCCTGATCACAGGATTCAGCTCTTGCAGGACCAAGTTTGTGCCTAATTGGAAGCTCTACTCGGCACAAGTGGGCATGGTCCCCCTGAAGGCCGAGATGGAGGAAATGGTAGTGCCCTGCCTGCATCAGCCCAGCCCCCTGGCTAGGGTCTCCTTCACTGAGAGACTTGCTTACTGGTCAGCCCAGGCCACTATCAGGCAGTCAGTCCAAACAGGGACTGGTAGCCCCCCGTTTAAAGCTGCCCTCAGGAAGATTTGGGGGGCACTGGGCACTGTCCCCTCTGGAGGCTATGCAGCTTTGGGGGACCAGCCTGAGCCTAACAGGCCCCAAGAGCCAAAGGCCAGCTAACAGAGTACACACTGCACATGTGTGGGAGACACAGGTCAGGGGAGCCTGGAATCTGAACCAGGGCATCTGTAGGGACAGGCTGAGTTCGAGTAGTGAGCTACTGGGGGACCAGGACACGGCCTAATTGCAAGTGCTAGTCTGCCCAAATGTGCCAATTCTTCCCCCTGAAGACACACCTGGACGAATCTGGACTGCCCTGTCAGGCAAGGCAGTGCAGGACGGGTTGATATTTCCTCCAGTAAGAGACACCCAAGAGCCTTGATTATGGTCGCCCGGGACCCCCTCAGGCAGCCAGTCTAAGTGGGGAGTGACTGAGCCAGATTGAAGCTGCTACCTCAGGAAGAGTTTTGGGGAGTGAGCTCTGTCCACCCCGGGAACGCTGCCGGTTCAGGGCACCCGACTAAGCCCAGCGGGCCTGGTGAACCGGGGCAGCCCAACACTGCTGGCCGACAGTGTAGACACTCTTGGCTCACACTACTTGTCTCTCCTGGTTGAGCACCCCATATCCTCTCCTGTCTTTACCTGCTAGACCTAACCGGCTATCACCTGCATGTCTCCATACCGATTGTCTGCATCATATTATGCATACATCTTGGATTTCTTTCCTGTCCTTCCCTTTCCTTTGCTTCCCCTCCCTCCCTCCCTCCCTCCCTCTCTTCCTTCTTCTTTCCTCCTTTCTTTCTTTCATTCTTTGTTTCTTTCTTCTTTTTCTCTCTTTCTCCCTCCCTTCTCTCTCTCCTACCTCCCACCCACGCCCCTCCCTCCCGTCCTTCCTCTTTCTTTCCTTTCTTTCCTTCGTTCTTCCCTTCCTTCCTTTCTCTCTCTCTTTCTCCCTCCCTTCTCTCTCTCCTACCTCCCACCCACGCCCCTTCCTTCCTTCCTTCCTTCCTTCCTTCCTTCCTTCCTTCCTTCCTTCCTTCCTCCCTTCCTTCGTTCCTTCCTTCCTCCCTTCCATTTGTTTATGCTAACTGGGACACATTAATTTGTCCAAAGCTTTTATCCCCTTGCTTGGCACAGTATCCAAATAAGCTGTGGCCCTAAGAGTAGTTTTTCTAAGTATGTCACAGCCACACCTTTCAGGTGGTGAAATTCATGCAGCTCAAGACTGAAACCAGTTCCGGACAGTTAACAGATGCTGTCGGACGTTGCTAACCATGCTGGAGAAGGTCATCCTTGGACACCTGCGCCACTGTGGATGAGAGAGAGGGGAAATAGTGGCCTTCCTCCTCCTCAAGGATGTGCCTGGAGGCGTGGATTGGATAGGAGAACGGCTGCCTCCCTTCTGTCACCCGCTCAGTGTCCACGTGCCCTGCACCCACCAGAAGTGGGATTGTCTGTTTGCCCGAGTTGCAGTGGCCTGAAAATAGTCCTTTCATTTTCAGGGGAATGGACACATTCTGAAGAAAAGGGAGCTTTTAATACGTTCTGCAGTTACGCTTAAGCACTACTCACTGGGGTCTCTCTTTATACGTCAAGTAAAAGGATCCCTCCCCACAGTATGCAATGAGACAGAGGTCCTGTCTGCACAACAGCTTTGTGTCCTTACACAGAATTACATCCACGTGGGGAGCACGGTGCCTCAGCAGGAAGTCCAGAGCAGCACGGTGACCCCTCAGACAGTCCTTCCGCTGCCTACCTCTGGGGCCTCCCCCTGGCCTCCTGGATGACAGGGGCCACTGCTGCCCCACCTCTGCCCTGTGCACCAGTTGCCCAGGTGCGAAAGCAAATGCAACCTCACGAGTCTGGAGCCGCATTGGGCTGGCAGCTCCCTTTCCCCTACTAGTGGTACCCGGCATAGCCGGAGCTCTGCTGTTGTAGAGCTAAAGACAATCAGCTCAAGGCCGTCTGGGTTGGTTAGACTGCCACTGCCCGGCGTGAACGTGGGGCCTTGCGTTTCTGAACACGAAGGCAGTGATTGTGTTCGGAGGGTGCCGACCGGGTTCATGGTATTACAAGGAAGGGAAAGCTATGTTGGACGATGGGAGACCCAGGGATTCAGAGTATAGGGCGTCTTTACACTGTTGGCCCCAGATATAGTGAGCAAGTTCCCTTCGATTCCTTATAGACAAGAAAAGTCACCTGCCTTTCTCATGTGGATTATAGCATTGTAGTTCTCTTGGTTGAACTACTCAACAGAAGTCCCACTAGTAAGGGGGACTGGTTGGCTCAGTCTGTAGAGCATGTGACTCTTGATCTTGGGGTCCTGAGTTCAGCCCCATGTTAGGTGTAGAGTTTCCTTAAAAAAAAAAAAAAGAGAGAGAGAGAGAGAGATTTTACTTAATACCTTAGAAAAAGGGTGGTGGACCTGAGTGGCTCAGTTGGTTAAGCGTCTGACTCTTGATCTCACCTCAGGTTTGATCTCAAGGTTGTGAGTTCAAACCCTGCTTTGGGCATGCAGCCTACCAAAAAAATAGTTTACTTAAAAAAAGAATTACTTCTCTTTTTTCACTATATATTCATTTTCTTATGTTTTTGATTTTCCCTGCTATTATACATGCTTATTGACATAATTTGTATGAGTCTATGATAGTCCATTTAGAGGTTTGCACTATGTGAACTATTCCTTACATCCTATGTGAGAACTTGGTGGACCCAGGTCCTCTGGGGTCCTTGGTCTGTGTTCTCATCTCATTATGTCTTTTTCTCTTATCTCTACTAAGGAAATCATAGGAAACAGAAATTTGCACCTACCCTAGAGCTATGGTTCTGAGGAACAGGTGAGAAACCTGTGTTTCTCTCTAGCATGCTCCTCCTCAGGGTAACACATTTGCTGGCCAGCTCTCATCTCTTAGTCTCTCATTTCCTGCCCCTCCCCATGGCCACCTGTGATTGTCAGTCTCTGACCTTTCTTTGCCCAAATGGTGGTTGCTAAGGGCTCCCTCAGAGCACCATCAGCACGTAAACAGAAAGAGAAGGAAGGTCACCCATGAAATCCAAAAGGCTGGGTGCTTCTTCAGAAGGAAGATGTACAGCCCATCACCTGGCCCATCCCCCAGGGAGGCAGGAGGTATTTGGAGGGATGGGAGAGCAAACCAAGGCTGCCCTTTTCCATGTGGTATCCCAGGCCTTGGACCACAGAGTTTTCTCTGTGCCCCTCCGTGTTGCTTTGTGCACATATCAGTAGCCTCGGCAATGGTGATGCCCACTGGCTGTGCTTACCAGACCTCGCTCCTCTGGGAGACTTCTGAGCCAAGTGACCTGGCAGTGCGACCTCCTATTGACCATTTTCATCTGCAGAGTGAGCTCTGCTGCAGAAGCTGTGTGGCCAACAGGAGAATGGGTGTCCCAGGGTAGCAGAGAAGTTTTGCTCATGGATCATTGCCATGGGTCTTCTACTTCCTTTCAGTGACCGCTTCCGAATGTCCAATCAAGTTCAGCTCTGTTGGGGTAAGAAAGAGAATTCACTTCTATCTATGAGGGAGGTTATACTCAAAATAGCGACTGGGGTGCGTGGCTGCCCAGGCACACGATAATTTAAAACCAACAGGTGATGCAGGTAATTCTCCCCTCAGCCACTCACCAGCTCAGTATGTCTGTGTGTCTGCTGTCTTTTGTGGCTAGGATATTTTTCAGTATATTTACCAAATCTCCTTTCTTAAGAGATGGCCCATCTTGACAGTTGTCTAGTCTGCTTTCATCACTGATGACCTAATGTGGCTCTAAGTTTGTATTGTTGACTTTGCTGGTCATAGACCTTCCTTCAGAAGCAGTACCTCAGGGTAAAAGGTTTGTTCCCAGTGGGCTGCAGGGTTCCACCTGGCAGTTTGCCTCCACAGGGCAATCCAGAGACAGAATCACAGATGCAGTTGCGTCTTCATCTCATGAAGTTTGTGAAAGTCAGTGTGAGTCTCCGTGACCCATCTGGTATCCACAGTAGACCAGCCTAGTAAAATGAACAGTGGTTGGAATAACCCACTCTGCCTCTCTGCAGAGCGTCACAATTTTACTAATCTCTCCCATCCCTCCACGGATGTTGCATGGCCTCTGATTTAGTCTGAGGAAGGGCATGGTCCCAAAGGCCTCTCTTCGGTCTCCTCTTTCCTAATAAACATCAGACCAAGGTTCAGAAACCAAAGTGGGAATTCCACCAGTGCTAATATGAGTATTTCCATTCCACATTCTTGACCTGGGGAAATGAGCATAGGATTACTCTCTGGTCTCAGTGAACAAACTGTTAAATGTAGGACAAGGCTTCTTCTATTTCCACACCTTCCAAAGCCCCTACTCAAACTTTTGGGCAGGTCATGTAACAGTCCTGGTCTTTGGGCATCAACCTATGTTCGGAATCATTCTATAAAAGTTCCCAGAAAAGGTAGTGTTTCCCTTTTTTCCAGAGTTGGTCCCACCAGTGAATATCTGTGTCTTGGGGGACATTTGGGGAAAGTTGGGGGTGGGAGATGAGATGCATGGCACACATGTAGAAGGTGGTAGGGTCATTTCCCAAAGGGCTCCAGTCTCTCCCTCACTCTAGGGGCTCAGAGGCCCACACTGGCTTAGGGCTCATAGCTGGAGAAGAGACCATGACTCTTCACTATAGTAACTACTCAATCTAGATATTTATTTTTTCTGCCACATTGCCCAACAATTTCAATCTGGACAGACCTGATCAACTGTCCAACAGCACACACCCTTGAGGTTCCCGTCCTCTGGTTACCATTCTGGCTCCGTGGCTCCTGGGTGACTGCACACACCTTGACTCTGCTGGTTGAAGCATGCTCTCCTGCCACTCCTCACCTCCCATCTTCTGCAGTGTAGGACAGCTCCCCCAGAGCTCCTCAAGGACACTGGTACCTCCCGTACCCATGCCTCTGTAAGTGTGTTGATGAAGGTAGTGTATGGATGGCTGTGTCTTTCAGCAAGCATGATTAGGGATGGCTGAGCACACGGCACATCACAGAACCATTTCAACATGCCTGATTCTTATGCTTCCTGACTTCTTCCTGCCTTCCTCAACGGTATACCCAAGGAAATCCCAACATTTGGCCCTTATTGACCCAATATAGCGTCCAGAATATCAACACCGTGTGCAAGTGGTCAGGGTCGTCCTTTAAATACCAACTCTTAACTGAGCATATTTCTATCAATGAATTCAGTCCAATCCATATCTTTATTTTGTCCCTTTGGTCTACCACTCTCACAACATATTCCAGCCCTGCCACTCAGGCTTTGGCCAACACAGAAGGGCTAGGTTCTCTAAGCTGTCAATGTATCGTCTCTCCTTCAGGAAAGGCCTCGGAACTTTCTAAATGGCTAATTTTCAAAATTTTTTCTTTTATTTATTTATTTATTATTTTTTTTTTTTTCGAGAGATAGAGAGTGACCATGAGCGGGGGCATGGGGGAAGGGTGGGGTGGGCGAGAATCCCAAGTAGGCTCCATGCTCAGCATGGAACCCAATGCAAGGCTCAATCTCCCAAGCCTAAGTTCGTGATATGAGCCAAAATCAAGAGTCAGACACTCAACCAACTGAGCCACTCAGTCGCCCACAATTTTATCTTTAGATCAACTTCTATTATGAGCTCCTATCAATACAGAGCAATGAAGTCAAGCAATTCTTTCATCCTATAGAAAAACTTCTCCCTGAGGAAAGAGTGACTCTGCAGGGACCAACAGAAATTACACATCAAGCTAATCATGGACTATAAAACAAGGGGGAAAATCATTTTAGGGTGATGGATACATGTACATCACCTTCATTACAGTGATTGTTTTACTGGTATGTACATAAATCAAGAGTCTTGAAATTATACACTTAGATCTATGGAAGTTTTGGTTACATAATTATACTTCAAAAGGCTATAAAAATATCCAAAGACTCACACACCTAGGAAGGTAAATACTCTGTACTTACTGATCTGAAATAGTTACGGAAATAGACAACTCATCTCAAAAGATCCAACCACATCATAATGAGGAATTCTGGTAGGTCAGAAGAATGGAAGGAAATAGAATAAATTCACTAAGGTACTTGAACTATAGGAAGCTAGAAGGTAATATATCGATGTCCTATATGCTCTCCAATTTCCCTCTTGACATACACTTTCCTTCTTAAAAATTTTGTCTATTTCTTTGAGAGAAAGAGAGTGGGAGCACACAGAGAGGCAGGGGCGAGAGGGGCAGAGGGAGAGGCAGAAACAGACTCCCTGCTGAGCCCGATGTGGGGCTCCATCCCAGCACCCTGAGGTCATGACCTGACCTGAAGGCAGCCGCCCAACTGACTGAGCCAACCAGGTGCCCTAATATTCCCTTTTTTTTGGTTAGTTTCTACCTTCTTACCTATTTTATCCACTTCTTGCCCCTCACCTTGGCAAATCATGTATATGTTCTCTGTATCTATGAGTGAGAGTTACTGTGTTTTTTGTTTCCTGGTTTGCTTTAGATTCCACATATATGTGAACTCATGGTATTTGTCTTTCTCTTTCTGATTTATTTCACTTAGTACGTCCCCTTGGCTGTTATGAATTATGTGGCAACGAATGCAGTTGCGCACGTATCTTTATGAGTTAGCGATTTCACTTTCCTTGATTTTAACACCTAGGAGGGGAATTGTTGGATGATATGGTTATCCTATTTTGAAATTAGTTTCCCTGAAGTAATCTGTATCCCCAACGTGAGTCTCGAACTCACGACCCGCAATCAAGAGTCACACACTCTTCTGACTGAGCCAGCCAGGAGCCCCTCACATTGAATTTTTTGAGAAAACTTGATACCATTTTCCATAGTGGCTGCACCCATGGACAATCCCAACAACAGAGCTTTCCTCCACATTTTGGTCGACCCGTGTGGTTTCTGGTCTTTTTACCACTAATATTTCTGACGGGTGTCAGGTGTCATCTCTTTGGGTTTTGATTTGCATTTCCATGGTGACACATGGTGTTGAACCTCTCTTTATGTATTTGTTCGCCATCTGCATGTTTTCTTTGGAAAAATGTCTATTCTGAACTCTGCCAATTTTGTAACTTCCATTTGTTTTTGTGTTATTGAGTTGTATGAGTCTCTAATAATTTGGATATTAAGCCTTTATCAGTTAGGCAGTTTGCAAATATTTTCTCCCATTCAGTACGTTGTCTTTTCACTGCGTTGATAATCGGTGACCCTCACGAGTGTCTGCAGTTGGCCCTGTCTGTTCTTCTAGGTCACAGTGCCCTACATGCTGAAAGGAGACCCCAACTACAAAACACATTCTTCTCTAGCCTGACCACACCCCACATCTGGGTCAGAGCACCTCGAAAACCTGTCACCTGCTGCTCTACCTGGCCAAGAATCAGCCCCTCCCCTCACCCCCATGGGCACGGCTGCAACCCTCTCACAACCTTCAACACCCCTCAAAAGGCCCAGCCTGACAGAAACTCGGGGCTCACATGTCTCTTGGTGTCTGGCCCCTCTCTTCCCGGGGAGAGTGAACCCACTCTGTCCTGCTTGTGGCTCTACTCTTTGTGCAATTCCTTTTTTAAAATTTATTCTTACTTATTTTTAATTTTTTTAAAAATATTTTATTTTTTTATTTGAGAGAGAGTGAGATAGTGAGAGCAGGAACAGAAGCAGGGGGAGTGGGAGAGGGGGAAGGAGGCTTCCCGCTGCTCAGGGAGCCCGAAGCGGGGCTCCATCCCAGGACCCTGGGATCATGACCTGAGCCAAAGGCAGACACTTAATGACTCAGCCACCCAGGTGCCCCTCTTTGTGCAATTCTTTGCCGCCCGCGGCACCGGCCACCCTGACCCTAACATCAGAATACATTACATCTTCCAAAATTAGAGAAAAATTATACTGGTCATTAAGTCTGTTTAGAGTTTATTCTTTTCTCTTAAACCCCACTTGATCCCTACCGGGGTCTTCATGACTTCCTGCATAAGCATTCAAGAGCTTCCCCAGGGTCTGGCCTTTCTATGCCATAGTTCCTCCTGCATCACCTGGTTCCACCAACGGCTCCTCCTCCTGCCCTCCACCTCTCCTAAGGACCCTGGTGGTCCTGCTTGTCATTCCCACAAGACCTCCCTCCCTCTAGCAGGCAGTGCTCTCAACACTGCCCCCCAGAGCCCACGTCCTGTAACTTTGCCCTGTAACTGCCCCGTGGGGGTAAATCAATACTTCCTGCTCTAGAAAGCCCTGCCTTACCTGCAGAACTGGGGCAGTGACTCTCCACCCAGTCTTTTCCATTGTGCCCACGCAGAAGCCCTGAGCCCCCAGCAGGGGTCCGCAGCGCACTGTCCTGGTTGCAAGGGGTAGCTCAGCTTTCACCGCCTGGGCCAAGGCTGTGAGGCACACTGTCCAAGCCCTCAACTCTTGAAACTTCAATTTTCTCACCTACAAAATGGAGAAATCAATGTCTGTGTCATAAGAATGGATGCCACTAAAATAGAACAATCTGTGTGACTCAGTGAGAATAGTATGCCTGGTCCACATTAAACAATAAAATAAAGCAACTTGAATCAAACCAGAGTGTAGATCAGATGAGCCTGGGTTCAAGCCTCCACACAGCCAATAGTCACACATCCCCAGGCCAGTTTCTTAACTTCGCACGTCTCAATTCCCTCACTGAAAGATGGGTGTAGGTGTGATAATCCACTTATTCCTCTATCATAAGAACACCACCAGATTGTGTGGTACCATACATCAGGCCCTGGGCCACAAGGTAGGAATGCAAGGACAAGAAAGGATCACTCCCAGCCCTGGGGGCACAGAGCCACCTAGAACACAGACCGCAGAATCACAGTACTGGCTAAACACTGGAGTCCCCCGAGCGGTAAACAATCCTGATGCTGGGCTCTGCCCAGGGATTCTGAGCAGGAGGCCTTGAGGTGTGGCTTTAGGAGGGATTCAGAGCTTCCCCTCAGACCCCAATAGGCAGTACACATTGAAAACTACTGCTTTCGCACTCTCAGACAATTCCTTTACACCTGATTTGTTGCAGAACATTTCCCCCAGAGCTTGTTTGAAGTACTGAGGACATAGAGGTGGGGTGGTCTTCAGTCCTGGGACAGGGTGTCCCACTTCCCACACATGTTGTGTCAGCTCAAAGGGAGTCAGGAGCTCCACTGGAGGTCTGGTGGGTGGGTTGGCTCCAATCTTATCTGTTTACAGCTGATAACAAGGAAGAACCTTCCCCAGAGCCAGGGATCCGCTGCCCCACACCAGGCTTCCAGCCCTTCTCAGGCAGCTGCTTCCAGCTGGGCCTTGCTCACCAAGGGAACCTGGGCTTCTCTGCCCTGAAATGCAAAGCACTTTTGACAATACCTGTGGGTAAATGAGAGCACGTGACAGCCCTTTCCCTTCCTGGAGCTGCCTTAGGCAAACAGCCAGAGACAGGACATTCCATCCTTCTTTCTGGCTTCTCAATCCTGTTTTGCTGGCAAGACATTTCCTTTGCTTTTCCTACAGGTTCCTTGTAAAGTGTATATTTTCAGAACCTTATTTGACACAGAAGTTATCATGATTTCCGAGATTTGGTTTCAAAGACTCCAGAAAAAAAAAATGGGGGGTGGGTGCTGAATAAATGAGATTGGCAAAGGTTGACACTTAATCTCTGAACCCCAGTTCAGTGAATCATTATCCTGCTTCTTGGGTATATTCAAAAGCGACCACAAACAAAATATAATGAAAGGCAGTATGGGAGGAAATACAATATTGGATACTAGTCTTAGAACGTGAATGTCATAAGAATGGTTTGAATTCGTTCGATATTATCATGTAAACTGAAGTTTTAAAATTTCTTATTCAAAGAAATATAGCCCTTTAGACTACACATGGTTTTATTTTAGCGTACAACCCATTTTGCTCAAAAGAGTTGAGGATTTGCCCAGGTCCTGGCAGCTCACAGAACTAGTCCTTGGGAGGCCCACAGGTGCACCTTGCAGACTGTAGGGTCTGCTTGGGTATGAAGGAAAGGGACCCCTTCTAAGAGGCAGAGCCGAGATTCTATGATAAAGCGGACACTGGGGGTCAGAAGGGAGTAGGAAGGTGAGATTCTAGGATGGCCCATCCTGAGAAATGTTCCTTCTTAGCTCCAGGGATGTGGGCTGGAAGCTCAGGTGAGTTGCAAATCCCTGTGAGCTGGGACCCACCTGTGGCTCCTGCTGAAGTTGCATTGGAAGAGCCGAGAGCTGTGGCCCCTGGGCTGAGCTCAGTCAAGGCAGTGTGCTCATAGCAGCTGGGCATAAATGGATGGAGCCATGCAGAAGCTCCCTCCGGCTCCAGACCCCAGGTCTCTGGTTGGGGGGGGGATGATGATGTCCCTCTGGGGGGGACAAGGGGTTGGGAGGGTTTTCTGTCCTCATGGAAAGCTGTGGGCGGTCCCCGCCCTGAAGGCCTGGTTTTAATCACTGTCCAGGCAAGTCACAGCCTGACTTTAACATACGAAAGGAAGGAAGAGGGAAAATGCTCCTTGCTGGGGCCAGGGTTTCTCCTTGGGTCCCGAGCCGGTTCCTGACCCTCCAGGACCCCTGGCAGTTCGTTTTGAATCCTTAAGTTAACAAGCAGGGTTTACCTGAGCAAACACACATGGGCCTGGAGGTGAAGCTTTCTGCCTCTCGGGGCAGGCTCATGAGGCGCTCTCGGGGCGTCACCGCGAAGGGCGAGGAGGCAGCGGACGCCAGCACCCAGGTGTCCCCCCAGCAGGCGCGCCCCCGCCGCTGCGCGGCTGCAGGAAGGGCGGCGCCTGCGCCCTGGGCACCTGCTGCGTAGGCCCCGCCCACCGCGCCGGCCGTTACTGCGAGCACGACCGGAGGCAGAGGTGTGTGCCTGCGGGAGCGGGCTGAGCGTTGGGCGCGGGGAGCAGCGGCGCTTGACCTTGCGGAGGGGAGCGGGCGCGGGCGGAGGGCGCGGGGTAGGGGTTGGGGGCGTGGAGAGGCGTGGAGGGGCGTGGGTTGGAGGGGCGCGGACACGAAGGGCGGGGCTTGGCGGGGCGCGGACTTGAAGGGCGGGGCGTGGAGGGGCGGGGCGGGGCGTGGAGGGGCGCGGACACGAAGGGCGGGGCGTGGAGGGGCGTACAGGGTCGGGGCCGGGCGTGGAGGGGCGGGGCGGGGCGTGGAGGGGCGCGGATACAAACGGCGGGGCGTGGAGGGGCGTACAGGGGCGGGGCGGGGCGTGGAGGGGCGCGGACACGAAGGGCGGGGCGTGGCTGGGCGGGGCGTGGAGGGGCGCGGACACAAAGGGCGGGGCGTTGAGGGGCGTGGGTAGCGCATGCGCGCCGACCCCGCTGATGCTGCATCTCTGTCTGGGGACCGGGCGGGGCGGGGCTTGGAGGGGCGCGGGCAGCGCATGCGCGCCCACCCCGCTGATGCTGCCTCTGTCTGGGGGCCGCGTGGGGCGGGGCTTGGAGGGGCGCCGGTAGCGCATGCGCGCCGACCCTGCTGATGCTGCCTCTCTGTCTGGGGGCCGGGCGGGGCGGGGCGTGGAGGGGCCTGGAGCGGCGGGGCGGGGCGTGGAGGGGCGCGGGATAGGGGTTGGTGGCGTGGAGGAGCGTGGAGGGGCGTGGAGGGGCCTGGAGGGGCGGGGCGTGGAGGAGCGTGGACACGAAGGGCTGGGGGCCGGGCGGGGCGTGGAGTGGCGGGGCGGGCGTGGAGGGGCGCGGACACAAAGGGCGGGGCGTGGAGGGGCGCGGGTAGCGCATGCGCGACCACCCCGCTGATGCCGCCTGTCCGGGGGCCGGGCGGGGCGGGGCGTGGGAGGGCGTGGACACGAGGGGCTGGGGGCCGGGCGGGGCGTGGAGGTGCGGGGCGGGGCGTGGAGGGGCGCGGGCAAAAGGGCGGGGCGTGGAGGGGCGTACAAGGGCGGGGCCGGGCGTGGAGGGGCGGGGCGGGGCATGGAGGGGCGCGGACAGGAAGGGCGGGGCGTGGAGGGGCGCGGGTAGCGCATGCGCGCCCACCCCGCTGGTGCCGCCTTTCTGTTTGGGGGCGGGGCCGGGCGTGGAGGGGCGGGGCGTGGAGGGGCGGGGCGGGGCGTGGAGCGGCGCGGCCACAAAGGGCGGGGCGAACAGGGTCAGGACGGGCCGTGGAGGGGCGGGCCGGGCGTGCAGGGGCGCGGGCACAAAGGGCGGGGCGTGGAGGGGCATACAGGGGCGGGGCGCGGGGTGGAGGGGCGGGGCGGGCGTGGAGGGGCGCGGACACGAAGGGCGCGGCGTGGAGGGGCGTGGCGGCGCGGGGCGGGGCGTGGAGGGGCGTACAGGGGCGGGGCTGGCCGTGGAGGCGCTGGGCGGGGCGTGGAGAGGCGCGGGCACGAAGGGCGGGGCGTGGAGGGGCGTGGACACGAAGGGCGGGGCGTGGAGGGGCGCGGGTAGCGCATGCGCGCCCACCCCGCTGCTGCCGCCGCTCTGTCCACTCAGGGAACGCGGCGCCCTGATACCCGGAGCCTGGACCTGCCGCCGCTGCCGCCTTTGCAGGTGTGTGTTCGCAGCTCTGCACTGTCTCCCCCGGCAGACGCCGGGCAGCTGCGGTAAGAGGAGCGCGTCCTGTGCGCACAGTCCCCGCTCGCAGGGCATTGCTCCTTGGTGCCCTCCAATCCGCAGAGATGTAGCTGGGCCAGGCGACACGGAAATGAGAAGCTGGGTTGATTGATCACTTAGGAAAGTCACACTGGTTGGGAATCACATAGCATATTATCATTATTATTTAAGGTGGTTCCTAGGTTTACTCGGCCCCGACTGCTGGGTTTAAGTGTGTTTTCCAAACGGTGTCCTTGGAGGGCGCAGACTTGGGGGAGCTCAGCAGCTGGTAAGCAGATCCAAGCCTGGCAGAGAGGTTGCCCACTCGATCTCCAGTGACTGCCCGACACCACGCCAACACCGTCTCCTTAACTTTAAAATGAGGAGGGCACCGGAGCAGGACGGGACAGGCGTGGATGGCCAGGCGCCGCCCTTTAGAGCCACCCAGGCAGTGCTCCCAGAGAAGGAAGGCACCTGGTAACCACCCTCAGACCTGCCAGGCATACGAAAAGCCAGGGGGTGTGGAGAGCACATGGCGTGAACACTCATCTGTGAGAATTCTGAGCAGGGAGCAGACTCAAGGCACGTGTTTCCCTTGTTAAACTCAGGAACACGAATTTCCTGGGTCAGAAAACAGACTTAGGAAAAGGAGGCACAGCATTTCCATCCCACATCCTGCGCCCTCTCCCGTCTTCCGCACGCTCTGCCTGGACTCCAGTGAGAAGCCCAGTGAATGAAGGCACACCCCTTCAGCCTCTTCATCAGCCCTGGGGGCCTTGGCTGTGCAGGGAGCAGTCAAAGCTCCCAGACCCCCTTTTCTGTTCCTCCGTCCACCTCTTCGACTCTGGCCAAATCCCACAGTTGAAGGGCATTTACTTCCTCATATCACAGCCCTTCAGCAGCACTCCCCACCCCTCTGTCCACGGTCAGGACTGCA